AGACTTTCATAACCCTAAAAAGCTCTGTGTTACCTTCTAGGGAAAAATCTCTATATTCTGGCATCTGACTTAACAAAGCAGCTAAATTGCAACTACATTTGCAAGTAAGGTAGGCCGACAAACCATAAAATAAAGACAACACAGCAATTATTGTTTCACACCCTTAGAAGGTGTGAAACATGCTAAACATCAGTATATAAAAGCCATGTGTTGATAAAGTCTTTGCAAATTCCTTAATTTTAAAACTGTTCAAGAGATCAGAATGTCTAGAGATTGTGAAGAATCAGTGAGACACTTGTGTTTCAAGACACTGGCACTGAAGGTTTGGTACATGCTTGATTACATTTTCACCGAAGATAACGTACTTGTTGCTATGTGAGCTTTCAATGCTTTCTTTGTCTGGTATGTCCTAAGCTTTTAGGTGAATCTATGCAGTGTATGTTTTCACTATTTAATCTTTATTTTAAACTACTTTGAACATCAGTTGGATTAATCTGCAAAGCTTGAAGTTTAGTAGTAACAATTAATTGTTTTACTGGAAATTTAATGTTTAATTGTGTCTTGGAATAGATACATTTTGGGGGGGATATTAAAATATGGTGCCAGAATGAGGCTGGAGAAACACAGCAACTCATTGTTACTTTTATATATTTGTACAATTTCTTATAGGAGATTCATAATAATTCTTCAGCTGAATAGGGTGCTTCTTCCAGGGATCTCCTCCAGTGCTTGCACTGCAGCCAGGGGTCTGTGCTTTATATGCATTGTCCTTCTCATTGTTTGGAAGGTTGATGGCAGCCTGAAACTGCTGCAAGTTGTCAGCCAATCTGCCAGGTACTTTTGAAGAAATGCAGCTTGTGGTTGGTGGTCCTGCTGAAAACATTTAGCTGTGAACTGGTAAGGTGATGGTTTTACATGCTGCTAAGAGTATAACCCTCAGATGGCTCAGCTGCACCTGTGCCCTAACAGCAACTTGCTGGTGTTAGAAAGCCACCTGCAAAAAAACTGAGAAAAGTTTGCTGGAGTTAAAAATACAGTGAATGATTTTTCACACTGGTCATCCTGGTATTATATATACCTGCCTTGCAGAAAAGGCAAGAATAAAATTAATTCACTGGCAAGTCTGATGTGTTTGCACATCTTTATGACTGTTTTCTCCATTCAGACTGGTCCATCTTTATAAAAGAGACTCCCATGTGTGGTGAGAAGAGAGAAAAGAACAGTAAGAAAAAAGATACCTATTGGTCTCTCAGTCAGTTTTGGGTTTGTCTCTAGTTACTACTTTTAAGATTAGCATTGTGAATATAGAATTAAACTATAGCTCTCTTTTCTCCAAAATGTACATCATGTTTAGGGTAATATCTTCTCCAGCTGACAGTAAATGGCATTTGTCAGACCTGAGACTAACTTGGTCTTCTAGCAAAGTTGAGAAGCAAATGAACAAACAGGAGGACACAATAAAAATTTTAGTAATTTTTTTGTGTTCTAATAAATGTCGTTCTCATTCACTGTCTATTAGCAGCAGTTACTGAGCTGATTTTATTTTTATTACATATTAAATTTCTTAGTGTATTTTTAATAAAAAATATTTGAGGTCAAGTGCTAGGAGATAGGAGGGTTGTGCTCCTGTGCCGAGCTTGCAGAGTAGCCAGGACACATGCATGTCCTGCAACATATGTGAGGGATGCAAGTGAACATACCCTTTTTAGAATTTATAATGGTATAGGCAAACTTCCTAAAATTAATCTCTGTTGGTAAAAGCATTGGAGATTTAAATGAAGTTCTTGAATCAATTGGCTGAGTTTCCTGTTATATGGCCTTTTGAAGTTATTTTTTTCTTTGAGGTTTTTGTTAGGTTTCTTTTTTCCCCAAAGCTGCAATTCTGGAAACATTGCAGTGTGTGCCAGTGAGATGGGCAGAATGGCAGGACATAGAGGGAAGTGGATGCACTAATGAATTGTACCTAACCTGGCCAGTCTTTTTTGCAGGCTAACTCCCTCATAGTACTCTTAGGAGTGCAGCAGTTGGTACATTTGGAACAAAAGCACCCTGGATCAAGAACCTGACCAATATTTGTGTTTATTGGTATGAGCATGCTTTCCTGTCTTCATCAGAAAAGTGAGAAAGAAAAAGTTTCTGAGGAAAGAAAAAGTTTCTGTGCTATTAGACTAAATGGAAATAAGGAACTCAAGAAATAGATGCAATGCATTATGTATTGCACCTCCTTTCCTCTTTGCTTCTTTCTGTAGGACTGTTTGACTTCAGCTCTGTCATGGCAGGCAGACAATGGTATTAGCTAATTTGGCTCTGTACGATGCTGAACATGAATATGAATTAGAGACAAGTGCCTGAGCTCTCATACTGACTTTTGTTTAGCTGTTAATTTGTTCAAATGTTAATGTGCCACATGCAAACAAGCCCAATTAGGTTTGAAAACGCTTATTTTCTTTTCATGGCTTCTAAAAATTGAAGCTTTGTTCTATCTTCTAAGCTATTTTAATTAGTTTTGTTTCACTCAAAATAATAAAGAGGATGTATAAATACATCCAAGGTTTCACATTCAGTGGAACACTGCACTATGACCTGGCTCTTAAATTAAAAGTAAATGAAAAACTACTCTAATTAAAGAGTCTTATTTTGATATTTGCATTTAGTAGTACCATACCTAACAACTGTGTTGGGTGTGAGTGTTGAGAGTTCTCTAAGGTTTTAATTTACATAAGTGTTTTTAACTCTGTATCCAGAATACCCCTTAGACTGGAGTGGAGATTTTTTTTTTTACTTCTTTCCATGGGGATTTTATAAAGCTTAGCCTCTGAACTCTTTCTTGTTTGCTATAGTATTAAACATTACTGTTCAGCATTTGTGATCCTGCTGCTTCACAAAACTAAGGAAGATCTTCATCTGGCATCACAGAGCTCATCATCTAACCTTTGTATACAGGTGATGTACTTGCTAAAGAAATGTTGTTCAGAAAGAGTGAAAACTGAAATGGCAATACACTGGATTCTGTGGGCGTTAACTTAGAATTTTAATCTTTTATAAATATTTTATTTGCAGAGGTTTTGCTTTTGCTTCCTGATACAGAAGCTCATGTCAGTTACTCTGTTTAGAAAGAAGTCTGTGAGTCAGCCATTTGGATGTTGTTTTACAGCCCAGTGAAATTCCAGTGACTTTAATATTATATCATATTTTGAAACTGCTATATACGTGGCAGGACCTGCTAGACTTTTCAAAGTTCAGCCATCATTTCTGTCTAGTTTTGAGTAGAAAAATCTACATACATCGCGTGAAATTTTGTTGAAGTAGGAAGTTGTACACGTCTTCTGCAGCTGAAATTAGGAAACCATCAGAAAGATTTAGTGGCACTAGCATTCATTACTCACAAAAAACACTAACTGTAACAGTACACTAAAAGCCAACCTTCTGTTCCGCAGTAGATAAATAGAAATTGTTACATTTGTTTAGAGAAAATATAGTGCTAAATTGTCATTAGTTTCTTGGGTAGCAGTTCACTTCCTGCTAAACTTCAAAAGTAATGAAAAATGAAGTTTCTAGTTTAGATTCTCATATCTAAGTGGTATTATTTTATTTAGATTCATTGTTTTTAGGCTCAGAAATGAGCTGATCTGGGAACTCTCCCACAGAGGTGATATACTTCCAGTGACTGATGAGGAGTAAACTGAAATGGCGATACTCTGGGAAGGCTAGAGAGCACTGTAAATGGTCCATCATGCTAAGTGTTTGTTTTTCTGTATGTTCAATTCACCATAATATTTTAAATGTTGAAAGACAGGGTAAGTCAGGATTTCAGCCAGTATCCAAGTCTCACATGGCTGTTTGGTTCATTGCTAGTATATTATTCCACATTCAAAAGTTAGGGAATTAACCAGCTCAGTGACACATGACCAACACAGTTTTGGCATGAGCTGTTCTATAACCATTTGTCATGTCCTATGTAGAGTCTAGAAATTATACATATTCATTTTCCCCAATTTGAAGTCTATTAAAATGCTTAGGTAAGGCGTGACATTTTCAGAGGGAGCCTAATCTTCTTCCCTTTTACTAGGACCCATATAAGCTCCTAACTCACTTTCTGATTTTGACAAATTTTATTGACTTGCAGAAATGACATGAGTAAATACTTTAGCCGTGACTGAAGTTCAGGTGTTCCTGTCATATATGATTTTGCTCTGATCCCTAGGTAACACATCTCAGTGTAACAGTGTTGTCTGTTTTTTCCCTTTAGTTCAATTTCTGATGATACCATACGTGCATTTTTCTATTAAAAAATGAAATATTTTTAATATTAAGACTGAGTCATGGATATCAGGTTGTATATATTTATGATTGAATAAATATATATAGTGAGTCTCATTTAGTGTTAGTAAATCCTTACTGATTTTTGTAACTAAACTTTGCCAAAATTATTTTTAAGTTTCTGAAATACATGTCTGTTTCCAGTTCAGGCTAAATTTCTTTGTATTAGCTAGTTGAAATTGTAACAGCAGCTGGTGAAGCCATACGATTTTATCCAGTGATGCCTGTGTCACATTTCATAACAGTTACTGTGTCTTAAGAGATTGTTATATGAAGTTTTATCTACAACCAACTTGTGCTCCCTGGCTTTTAAATTCAGTATCCCTGAGCAGAGTTCTAGGTTTTTGCATAAGACAGTGTGCCTTTCAATGGTTAAAATATTTCTAAAAAGGGTGGAAAAAAAATCCTTCAATGAGATGAAAAATATTTCAGATACAGTTTTTGGATGATGTCCAGTTTCTACATTAAAAATGCTTTCCAACACCAGATGAATTCTGAATCATAACGACTCATTTAATACCATGTGCTCTCAAAATGAAAATGAGATCAGTAGTTAAATGAAATGCCCACAGATCCTGGGCATGGGGCACAAGATCAATAAAGATGATAATGCAGAGATGTGGGGGGACACTAAACTGGTCTGTTACTTAAGATTTATTTTGTCTTTCTGTATCTTTCAGAGTGCTCTATGGAAACAAGATCACAGAGATTCCCCAGGGCCTTTTTGATGATCTTGTGTCTCTGCAGCTGCTGTGAGTATGATCGCTTCCTCTTCTTTATTTTACAGACTAGCTAGATTTACTGTTTTTTTCAGCTTCTGGCATTAATGTAATCACCATTTCCACTGAAAACTCACTGGGACGTGCTAGCCTGTCGTTTCTGTGGCAGGCAAGAGGAAGGCAAGGGTGGAAAAAAAAAGGAAAGTGCCAACAGTTTTATAGCACAGTGTGTATGATGGGTGATAGACACAGAGGCTTTAAGTGTGGGGAGGAAATGAGAGACTCAGGTGAAGTCCAAGAAAGGAAATTTGGTCACTGGCTGATGTGTGAGTGTGGATGCCATCTGACTTTTTAGACATTTAACATTTGTGGTTGAATACCTAGAGCTTTGAGGGTGACTGCGTTGCAAGCACCTGCACATGCAAGCAAAACGGCAATATGAAGGATCTTATTGTTGCAAGCCATGCTCAGTTCCATATTCTTATTATGCCAAATGTGGCTTAGTTGCAAGAGAAATTATTTCAGAATATATTGTGTATTTGAGTATTTTATACCATGTGTGATTTAACACACAGTCACGGTTGGGGGTAAGATATATATCATACACTCTTCAGTATTTATTAACGTAGCATAAAAAGTTTCTAAACCAAATGTGAAATTGGAAATTTCACTCACTCTTGTCTCTGTAATCACACTGGGAAGAAGTAACTACTTCAAAGAGAAGGAAATCAGCTACTATTTCAGCCAGTCAGTAAAGGGAGCAGAAGGGAAGTGAGTTTAATATGTATTCCTAACATTCTGATTACTGTCATGGATGATGCACTCAGAAAATGAAGGCATTATATGATAAATTAATCAATTCTGGTTTATATCACACGCAGCCTTCCACCTCCAAACAATAAATTATATAAAATAAAAAGTAGCTTTCAGATATGTTATTTGGGGTCTTTTTGTCTGGACATAACCAGAAATGAATATCCAAAAGTCATGGTTATCACTGAATGTGTCACTCTATGATTTCAGTCTTTGCTGCACTTAAATGCTATGTAAAAAGAAGCACAGATTTAGATTAGAAATCCTTGAGCAAAGCCAAAGAACTAAAATATGAAAGAGTGGAAATTACTTTATATGTTAAGTGAAGAATTATTCAGATGTGTAATTTATCCATAACATCTTAACTGCAAACATGGACCACCTTATTCTAGAGAAGGATGAGCAAAAACACATATGGTTTGGTTATGACAATCCTTGACTGTGGTGTTGGGAAGCTGTTCATCTCCTCCTGCACATAGACAATTATTTTATCTTCACCTTTTGGACATACTTTTTCTTGCAGCTTCTTTCCTTTCTCCTGTCCCATACCTCACAAGTTTTAGTACTTCAGTGTCTTCACAATCAGCCTGTGCAGTAAGAGAAGATTGTGTATTTAGAGGGGAGGTAGTTAGCCATGTGTGAGGTAAGAACAGTGTGCATGAAAGTGCTTAGAAGCTGTGACTCTGTACAGGTTGATATAACAGACATGTGAGCCATTGTCACACTTGGGTTGTGTTTGATGCAATGAAGATGCTACAAGCAAAAGGAGAGCTAATACTTAACTTGTCACTTTGGCCTCTGAGAAACAAACTATATTTTAAAAATCTCAAGTTTATCATACTCTTCCCCCCACATCACGTCCCCCACCCTCTCCCCCCCCCCACAAGATTACAAGTTCATAGTGATACACAGTTGCTCTGTCTAATCCAGGAAACTTTACAGATAGGATCTTTCCCAGAAGGAAAAAAATTGACTCAACACATGGCTTACAGTGTCCTATAAAAATGTTGGTCTAGAACTTTTGCATAAAGCATTAAGCAGGTTTCAACACCTTTATACTATAGTCCCTGTGTGCATGTCTTTCAGGATTTTAATGAATCACATTTTTAAGTCCAGATGCAGTAGTTTTCCAGTCTGAATTAACTCAAGTGATGCCTTTTTTTTTTTTTTTTTTTTTTTTTTTTAAGGAGGCAAAATCTGTATGACAGAAAACAATTTAAAAGTGTTGCACTTCAATCATTTAAACATTCTCAAACTGAGAAGATGTAAGTAGGTTGCCCTGTTATGGGATTCCCAGAGTATTGTGGCTCTGGAGCCTTTCAGAATCTTCTTGCAGATGTTTGAATGTAAAGAAGCTCTTACAAGGAGAGCACTGAATGATCATGCTTCAAATGCAAACAAGTGTCTGCACACTTTTCTGATCATGGCTCTGAGGCAGCTATTATGGGATTGTTTGTAGTATTTTAACAGATACAGAAAAAAAATGGCATTTGTTGATTTTAGACCTGCTGTTGAACAGTTGGGAGAGTGCCCTATGATTAGATCTAATTTAGTGTTCAGTGGGCTTTAGATTGGATTTCTTCTTGTTAGTCTGGAGACACACTGATAAGAACGCTCTGATTAAGGTATCCTGGTAGCCAGTATAATTTCCTTAGCTTGAGCTGGAGCATTTTTGAAAATATATTGCCATTGTGGTAAAGCAGTACACAATCAGAAAAAGGGAGTTGTTGTGGGTCCTGTATGGAATTGTTGAGATTGTACTTAGAAGGAAAAAAGTATTACTGTGAAATTGCAGAGCAGATAATACCGTTATTTACTGGTTTGGATAAGACTCATCAGAGTTTCTCAGAAATGTAATTATCCTTCTGTTTAAATATACTATCACAATATAGGCCCAGATTATTCCACTTTTATTGTGGAGGAATTGTTTTGTGTAGGTGCCTTACAACTGCACACAGTGCCACTGATGTCAGAAACACTGTAACTGAGTAAAGCGGTGCTCAGCTCAGGCATGACAGCATCTTGAACTGCCCCATTTGACTTTGGTATATGGGAAATGGAGAATTCAGACCAAGTTTTAGACCACCTGGGTAGCATTAGAATTCTGTATTTCTGTCATGTAGGGCAGAGGTAGTTAAGCCAATATTATATTGTATTTGACAATAACCAGGTATGGTTAGATAATAAGGGGCTTTTTTGGTTTGTGGGGGGTTTTTTGTTGTTTGGGGGTTTTTGTGGTTTACATTAAAAAGTTGTTTCTGAAGTCTTCATTATAATTAACTGCCTTAAGTCATTAACATTCTCCATATAAATAATCACAATTGGATTTCTGTTAAATTGCTGATTTCACAACTCATGTCTTCCTAAATATGCAATTGTAACCAAGACGGCAGCAAACATTATTGTACAGGTCCAACTACACATCTGTTCTGTGGAACAGAAGCTTTTTTTGGACCCTGTCATTTTCCTTATCCTGTTTGAAGTTTCCAAGAGAGAAGATGCTAGAAAGCTACTGTAGCTACTGTACCCTATCCTCATACATTCTTCTTTTCAGCAGGCTGGATTAAGTGTCTTCAGAGAATTTTAGGACAATTTGAATTTTAGAGAGCTATACTGTTTTCCAGAAAGGGATAACTGGAGTCGCATTTCACTGGGGTAACAATCCATCCATGCTGTGAAATAGTGTTTGATTAATTATCATTGTTTGTGTAACTTGCATTTGAATATCAAAAAAATTGAAAGAGTTTCAGTTTAAGGTGGAAGGTTTCAAGAAACCAGTAACTATGGCCAGTTTGAACTCCTGTCCAAGAGGCCTTAAACTAACCTTGGTCTGTCTAGAAACTGGAATATATTTAAATGTCCTTCTCACCCATCTTTCATTTTTCCTGGAATGTAGACAAATTATTTCAGGAGCCCTTGAGTTTTCCAAGCTGTCTGCCAGTCACTGCAAAGGGGGTACAACAGAACATCGCGCAGCTCTTTCTTTGTCAGCAGCCCTGTGACAGATAAACTTGGCAGATGATCTGCTTGCTCCCAAATGAGCAAATGTGCAGAGCCAGTCTGCAGTGAAACAGTGAGTCGAGTGGCTCAAGCCAGTGAGCTGTGGATAATGGGCACCAAATTTTTTAACCACTCTTTTTCATATCTAAACAATACATTTTCCTCTCTGCAACCATATTAAAACAAACATTCTGGGAGCCTTTTTATTGCACTTATACACTGTGTGCTTCACAGTGCTCTATTTCCTGGAACAAGAAGGTATCATAAAATCTCTACTGTTTAAAGAGATTGTATAGCAAAATAATATAGGGGGATGAAATCTCATTTTTCAAATGTCTGGCAAGTATCAGTTTTCAATAAATCCTTTTCCTTGAGGAAATTTACTTTGCATAGTTACTAATCATACAAGTGCTCAGGCGTGTTGATCTTAAATTTTATGGTTGAGATCCCCATGGCTTGCTGGGCAAGAAAGAATCCCTATAGTGGACTCTGTTCTGATGCTGCTAGAAGTAGATATACTCCTGGGGTATATATATATATTGAAATCAGAGGTTTGTTGTATTCCTCTCTCATAAAATGAAGCCAAAAGCTTACAGACTCCTCCTCCTTCTCCTAATGTCTGATCATTAGGGAAAATGCATCATTGTAGTGAGAAAAGACCAATAATCATATCAGTGTCTGGAGTCTGAGATACTGACAGATAAAGTAACTTCGAAAGTGGTGAAAAATTAGACTTCCAGATTGAATCATCTAATCTAGGTTAAAATTGGAACTAGATCTAATATTTACATCTTTAACTGACCTTTATTTAAAATAGACTTGTATGAAGTGACAGGTTGTGTGTGTACTTTCAGAAATGGCTATTATCAATCTTCCTAAAATTCAGCCACTCAAAATTTGCTTTGAGTGTTTCATCTTTTTAACCTACTTTTTGTGCTCTTTCTCCCTGGATGAATAGTGAGATACTTGGTACTCCCATAGCTCTTCTGGTGAGGTTACTTGGAAAATATCTCCATGGCAAATTTGCCAAGTTTGAAGTGCTTGTGTTGATTTGTAATCGTAAATTGAATCCTAGTACTTAAGAGCTTAAAATAGGATCTACCAAATATTTATTGTGTACTTTTGGAGCTTGTTAGAAGCTCAAAGAAAATCCAGTGAAGCACAAACCCGTACAAAGTGTTTAAAAAAAAAAAAAAAATTACTCTAAAGAATGTATATAA